GATTAACTGTTTTTTTTTCTCTTTATTCTCTAGTGGTTTGGGGTTTTCTACTTGTTTTAGGGTTGTCTGCACTGGTAACTGAAACTGTGGCAGTACAAATATCAAGGTGGCTACTGACCTTGGATATCGCCTCCTTGATTTTCCTCTTCATTATTATCTTCTCTAGACTGTCTTTTTGAGGAAGGCTCCTGCAGAATTAATCACCTACATAGTATGCTTCACTGGATGCTACAGTCTGGGTCTGGAATGTTCCCCAAAGGCTCATATGTTGAAGGCCTGATGTAGTAATGTTCAGAGGTGGACCTTTGGGACTGATTCATAAAGACTCTAAGCTCATCAATAGACTAATCCATTGAAGGATTCATAGATGAGTGGACTACTGGGAAGTGGAAGAAATAACAGAAGGTGGGACCTAGTTAAAGGGAGTAGGGCCTTGGGGGCATGCCCTTAGGGATTATACCATCTCCTCACTCTATCCTATCCATCATGAGGTGAGTAACATACTCTACTATGTTTCCTCATCATGATGCACTGCCTCACCACAGACCTAAAATCAATAGAGCCAAGTGACCATGAACTGAAACCAAAAAACAAATAAATCTTTCCTCCTCTAAATTGATTTTCTTGTATTTTGTCACAGTGATTATTATGGATTATGTTTTTACTGTTCCACAAAAGGTTATGTGTGAGGCAATGTAGGAATGTTCATAGGTAAAAGGATTAAATTATGAGAGCTGTAACCTCATCATTGAATTAATCCATTTGATCCATTCTGAACGAACTGCTGGATAGTAATTGTATGTAGGTAGAGTATGCCTGGAAGAAGTAAGTCACTAGGAGCATGGCCTAGACTATGGCCTCTCCCCCATGCTCTCTGCCTGTCTTCTGGCTGCCATAAGCTGACAGTTTTCTTCTTCCATGCCCTTACACTGTAAAGTTCTGCCTTACCTTTGCCCATAGCAATGGAGTCAGTCAACTGAAACTCTGAAATTGTGAGCCCAAAATAAAATTTCCCTCCTCTAAACTGTTTCTGCCAGGTAGTCTAATCACAGTGATGGGAAGTAGACTGAAACACTGGTCTACCTTGTCCTTCTGTACCCTGATTGCCAACCCTGTCACTCACTTCTCCTTGTAGAGGAAGACTGGCATACTGTGATCCCTGCTCATAGAGTCTCCACATGTAGTAGTAAGATGGGAACCTTTAACTGTAGTAGGGCAAGCATTGTTAGGTCCAGCCTTCTGAAGCATTCTCTAATCCCTCTCTCTTTTCTCTATTCTACCATTCTGATAGTCCACTGGTAATTATGTAGAGGACCCCTGTGATGCATTTATAATGATTACAATCTACTGTTTCTTTACTGCCTAGAACTGGAATTCTACCGGAGCATGCAACCTTTGCTGTCTCAGCACCCTTGCTTTAAATAACATTAAGCTCCCCATTTCTTTGTCAACTACACCATAAAAGTATTTCCTAGAGTTATTCTTAACGACAGACTGGTATACAAATACATCTTCCTTGGTACCATTCTTATTTAATTAAAACATATCTGTTTCTTGCACTGAACCATTTTTACTATCCCTCAAACTTGCCTTGTAATGACCTTCATATCCCCAAATGAAGGCACTCCTAAGGGAAGGCTGCCAGGGCCACCACTCCCTGTGCTGCTGTCCATGTTCTGGGCTTGGTACAGGCAGTGCTGATAGGTATTTTGTGTGTTATATGTATTAACACATACCAATATGTTATATGGTGAAAAATGCTCAAGAAGTATGGAGAAATGTCTTTTTACTATCTAATGCAATTTACCGGAGACTAAATACTCACACAGATATCATTAGTGCCACAGGAATTTTATGCAGATACAACACTTGAGATTATTGCAAATAGCAACCAAAGGTGGCTACAAAATTAAAAGAGTAGTACAGTATGGACTACAATTAGTTTTATATAGTTAGATTTCAATAGTCTATATTTGTCTACACTTTTCTTCACATTATAACTGATGCCATGTATACTCTATGTGTGCATGTGTTACACCAGTGTATGATAAAACAGAATATTATCTACATATAGTCTAAGTGATCAGGACATACCTAACTTTTTGAAAATTTTTTCAAATACCCCTATATCTCAAAAACAAATTCATGTTATGTAATTCTAGCCCATATTGTTCAAGAACCTAATATATTTTCAATTTGACTCCATTAAATCTTATAATACCATGTATACTAAGAATTATTACTCCTACTGCACAAATGAAGATAAAGACTCAGAGAAATGAAGTAACTTGCACTTTTATAAGAGGAAAAATCTGAACTTAAGTCAGACAGTTCTCTGTCTAGGGACTATTTATACTCTTTTGACATCAAAAACAAATTCATGTTATGTATATATACCCATGCAATTCTAACCCATATTGTTCAAGAACCTAATATATTTTCAATTTGACTCCATTAATTCTTATAATACCATGTATACTAAGAATTATTACTCCTACTGCACAAATGAAGATAAAGACTCAGAGAAATTAAGCAACTTGCAATATTATAAGAGGAAAAATCTGAACTTAAGTCAGACAGTTCTCTGTCTAGGGACTATTTATACTCTTTTGACATCAGTGTATTACCTCTAAAATTCCCCAAATCATTCTAACATCATACAATGTGAGAGAACCAATTAGAAACACAACTTGGAAATCAAATTTTCTTATCAAGTAAGGCTGATGCACAAAATCTACCTAGGTGGGAAACCTATCTATTTAGTTGCAAACTTTCACGAACATTCCTTGTCACTGATCCTAAATTATCCCTTATTCTGAGTATGCTGGATCATTCCCAACAGCATATGAGCATGAAATAAAACCATCCATAGAGTTGTGTACAGCTGCCTTCAATTTCCTTTCATTCTCTACTAAATTTCTCCATTCAGGATCTAATTTCCATCAATTCACTGAAACAGCTCTTTATAAGGGTCACAAATGACCTTCATAGTGTCAAATCCAAAAGTAAATTCTCAGTCCTCATCTAATCTGACCCATCACCAGCATATACTTAATTAATTACTCCTTTTTTAAAAATTTGATATTAAAGATCTCTCTTGCCCTTGGTTCTTCCCTTCACTAGAAATTCCTTTTAAGCCTCTGTTGGTGATTCCTCCTTATCTTCCTGATTAAAAGTCAAGGTGTCCAGAGCTTAATCTTCAGACCTCTTTTTTTAGCTATACTAACATCTTGGGTGATCTCAATTAGGATCAGAATTTTAAATATTATTTCTTGCTAATAAATCCCAAATCTGTATCTTTAGCCTAAACTCTCCCCCAAATCACCAAATCAACTTTTCCCCTTTTGATGTTTACCTGGGATCTAATATTAACACATTCAAAATCTAACTCTTGCTATTTACCACCATCACCTCCAACTTGTTTTCTCCAATGTTTTCTCACTGTAATTAATGGCTCCTATTTAAGATATGAAGCTTCAAAGTGAAGCTTTTCTCAAATAGCTCATGTCTAATACATCATCAAATAATGTAATCTCTTTCTCCAAAACATTTCCAGAATGTGTCACTTCTTAATCATTCCCTTGCTACCAATATAATCCAAAGCCCATCATCATCTCACACTTGTGAGGAGAATTTATCTAGAAAACCTAAAGTTAGTAACCTTCTTAATCATTTTCCATTTTTGTGGGTAAGAGATACTTATATAATTCCATGAACAGATCATTACATCTAAACCCAGAGTCAAGATGACAAATAAGTTGAGCCAAGAAACTAGTCGATTAATCTTGTATCTGCTTGAGGTTTCATAATAAGAAGTAAAATAAGGTAGTAGGAAAAATTCTTGAGGTATTTTTATTATCCACTTGAGAACACTCAGGTAGGGACAGCAGCCAAGGATTCAGAGAAGCAGCCTATAGCCATATCTATATAGTACATATCTAGCAGGAGCATCTGCTATGAAACAGATCTTGGAACACTTGAGGAACAGATAGATTTTACACTAAATCAAGTAAAAGGGAATCCTATCATTTGCCAGTTCATGATGTTTTTAGTGGACATTTTATCGGTGTTTAAACATAGGATCTTTAAGAGATGACTGGGCCATAAAGGGTCCACTCTTATATATAGGACTACTACTGTTATAAAAGGGTAAGTTTGGCCCTTTTTACTTCTTGGTCCTTCCTCCAAAGGATAATACAGCAAAAAGGCTCTTTACAGAAACAAGCACTTTGGTATTAGACTTCCTAGCTTTTAGAACTGAGACAATAAGTTTCTGTTTATTATAAAATATCTATTCTGTTATATTCTATCATAGAAGCATAAAGCAAACTAAATTTTAAAAGTTGGCATCTGAACATTGAGAAAACCCTCAATACATTTTTTCACCACCAAATAAAACCTTGAAAACTTATATGGATTTAAAACATTGAAACCTTTTACAGGTTACATAGATAATCAGATCATGGACAAACTATAGACACTGAAATATTTGATAATAAAGAATGTATATTTCTTTTAGGAGTAAAAGTATATTAGATAACAGATTTTTAAAAATCCTAGAACTCAAATCCCTAACAATGTCTAAGGCAGATTCCTTTTGAAGTATTAACATGGAGGGCCTCACATAAAAAATCCCTAGTGCCAATGCCACAAAGACAAAATACTGGAATAGTCAGATCATTATCCTAACCCAATATGACATTCCAATCAACAAAAATATTGTAAAGGAACCAGTCTTGAATCAAAAGACAGTGTTAGTTCTAATACTACATGCATGATTCCAAAAAGAACATTAAGAATTCTTATAGTTATAAAAATCATTGTGTATTCACTACATCTCAGATACTATGATAGTTCCTGTGAGAGACATAAATAATTGCAAATAGCTTAGGTACTGGTAATCTGTTTTAAAAGTGAAATGAATGAAAGGTCACCTAAACATTCCTACACCTTTTCTAGGCGTAATAAAAATTTCCTAAGAAAGCAAATTAAGTATGTACCTTTCAGAGCTGTAGTCTTTTCACTTTCATCTGGACCTCCCTGCTGGATTTGTGCCATGCTTATCCAAATTGGCAACAAAATTAAAGAGCTCAAGGAAATAGACATCAATCTTCAGACAGTCTAGAATGAATGAAAGCAATAAATTAAGGTCTACTCAAATCCTACCTACTCCATGAGGAATTTCTAGCTCCTTCCATTAGAAGAGGACAATCTCCTCTCCTGATCTGCCACTACACTTTGTTGATCACTATTCCATAGCTCTTACTATAGCCTGCTTTGCATTATAGTTATTTATGTATTTATTTGGCTCAGTTAATAGTTTAAAAGCTCTAGGAATATAGGTATCAAGCTTTTGTCAACATTATAACTCTCATGTCACCATATACAATATCTTAAATCTGTATGTATTTTGAACTGAATTTACCCAAATTTACTATTTAGTTTCAATTCCTTACCAACTAATGTTTTCTTTAAAAAATAACTTCAGATAATTTTAAAAACTTGCAATTTCATTTAAACAGTAAGTATGTGTCATTAACAAGGTCACAACATCTTCCTCCTAAAATATGAAGTTAGAAGGAGAAAAATAAACATATAAAGCATCTACAAATTACCTATACTGTAATTAGAAACACAACTAGAGGAAAAAATTAGCCCATTTAAAAATTAAACTATGTTAAATTCATTATCTGGTGATAAATGGTATACTTTATAAATGGTCTCTAGTAAGTCGTTATAATATAAAATTTTGATTTATTACTAGTTCTGTTCTACATTGGCCAAAGGGAAGGCATTAAAAGTACAAATAAATTACTTTTCCAGGGGTGCCTATGATCAAAAATAGAAACACTATTCCTATTCCAAAAGCTTAAAAGGAAAAACATGTAACACATACAATGGAAAAATATAAGCTAAAGTTAGTCAATTATACCATAACTACAAGGGAAATTATAAGACAATTACATTGATGACAATAAAATACAACAGATTATTCCTCTAAGGTACCCAATTGATTTGCTATGCACAAAGCAAACTGTGGTTTCCATTTAAAGATACATCTTATGATTATCTTTAAAAAGAAATGTATTTCTGTAATTAGCAGAATGTTGGAGAAATAATCTAAAATTTACTTATTCTGCAAACAGGTAAAAAGTTTTAAAACATAATAATGAAAATAAATATTTTATACCATAAATGTTCCAAATAGACATTACCAATGTTGCCCATATCTCAAGTTTAATTGCAGGTGATATAAGAGAAAGGACCCTCTGGCTCTCCAACTAACTAGCCATGAATCCATGATATATTATTTAACTTGTATGTGCTTCATTTTCCATATGTGTAAAATGGAAATGATAATCATGCCTCCCTCATAGTGAAAGCTAACTATAAAACATTTAGTATAGTGTCTGATTTATAGTTAAGTGTTTAACATATGTTGGCTTATAGTTTTCAAAATTGTTGTAAATGAATCTTCATCACTTAATAACAACTCTGTGACCTCTAGAGAGGCACTTAATATCCAAAATATTCAGTTTTCTCACTTATAAAATGTGGCAATACCTCATATAATAGTAGTTAAAAATGTATAGCCAACCATTGCAGTATTATTGCTACCCAATGAGATCTCCTAAAAAAAAAAAAAACTAAAATATCAGTCAACTGCTACCATCTGGATCTGATCTGAAGTGTCCCTAAAGGCTTATGTGTTAAAAGCATGGTCATCACCAATGGTGCTATTTGGAGGTGATGGAAACTTTAGAAGGTAGGGTCTAGTGGAATAAAATAACATCACTGAGAGCATGATCTTGAAGGGGATGTTGGGGTCCCCCGATCCTTCTTATTTCTTGTTGCTTCCTTGCTGCCATGAAGTGAGCAATTTTGCTCTACCACAGGCTCCAAAGCAACAGGGCCAACCAACCATGCACTAAAACCTCCAAAAAAAATGAGCTAAAATCTCTCTTCTTCTTCATGGAAGAAGTAGCTCCTATTTTTCTTCTGTGTATTTGTAACTATAAATTCAGCATAAAGTAAATGTATCTATATTCCATGAAGAGATACATCCCAGTCTATAGGTTAGGTAATGCATAAATCTCTGCAGCTGTAATGGTGAGTAAAACAAACATGGTCACTTCCTCTGCTTACTTACTAGCTAAAATCAAACTGCCAAGTGACCACAGCTAACATATTTCAGACCTAGACTGATACTTATAATACTGTTATAACAAAGCAATAATTAAAAGGCTTATCAGCCAGGTACAGTGGCACATGCCTGTAATGCCAGTGGCTCAGGAGGCTGAGGCAGGAGGATTAAAGGCAGTCTCAGAAAAAGCAAGGCACTAAGCAACTCAGTGACACCCTGTCTCTAAATAAAATACAAAACAGGGCTGGGTATCAATATGGCTCACTGATCAAATGCCCTGGTACAAAAAGGTGGGGGAGTGCTTATCAGGAATCAGTCCTAACATGTCCCACAAATTGTGTAGAAGTTTTATCAGCTTGTAAATACCATCCTGTAGTAAAAATTAAAGAGATAATGTTCATACATGAAAGATCATACACAGTGCCCTTTGTTAACAATTCCATGACTGCATTAACTATATATAGGCAAGCTTCATAAAATTTTTAGTTTCTCTTCTAATTCAGTATTTCTATTTTTATTTCTTTTTCTTTTCTTTTTGTTTTTGGTACTGGGAATTGAACCTAGGGGTGCTTAATCACTGAGTCATATCTCCAGCCCTTCTTGTTTTTATATTTTATTTAAAGACAGGGTCTTGCTAAGTTGCTTAGGACCTTGCTAAGTTTCTGAGGCTGACCTTGAATTTGTGATCCTCCTGCCACAGCATCCTGAGCCGTTGAGATCACAGACATGTGCCATCACACCAGGCTTAATTTGGTATTTCTTCTAATATAAATTATAAAGTCATTTTTCCTTGGCCCCAAATTATCTGATTCCTAAACAGAATGATTAATATAATTATATCACTATGGCTACTTTAACAAAAGTAGAATTATAAATATATTTTGATGCTGTGAATCATACTCAAGATTCATATTTTAAAGAATCACTTTCAAGATCTAATAAATTAAGAATCATTATTCTTTTTATTTTTTATTTGTTCTTATTTTAAACATGAAAATAGAATATATTTTGACATACTAAACATATATGGAGGGGCTGGGATTGTGGTTCAGCAGTAGAGCACTCGCCTAGCACGAGTGGGACCCGGGTTCAATCCTCAGCACCACATAAAAAAAAAAAAAATAAAGGCATTGTGTTATGTCCATCTACACCTAAAAAATAAATATTAAAAAATATATATGGAGTATAACTTCTCATTCTTCTGGTTGTACATGATGTAGAATTACTTTGGTTGTGTAATCATATATGCATTTAGGATAGTAATGTCTAATTCATTTTACTATCTTTCCTTTTCCCATTTCCCCTCCCTTCTCCTCATTCCCCTTTGTCTAATCCAAAGTACTTCTATTCTTCCCTACCCTACCCTAATTGTGAGTTAGCATCCACATATGGGAGAAAACATTAGACCTTTGGTTTTGGGGGACTGGATAATTTCATTTACCATATATTTTCCAGTTCTCCATTTACTGCTAAATGCCATAATCTCACTCTTCTTTATGGCTGAGTAATATTCCGTTATATATATTTACCACATTTTCTTTATCCATTCATCTGTTTAAGGGCATCTGGGTTGGTTCCATAGTTTAGCTATTGTAATTTGAGTTGTTATAAACATTGATGTGGCTGCATCACTGTCATATGCTGATTTTATGTCCTTTGGGTTTAGACTGAGGAGTGGGATAGCTGGGTTAAATGGTGGTTCTAGTCCAAATTTTCTGAGGAATCTCCATAATGCTTTCCAGAGTGGTTGCACCAATTTTCAGTCCCACCAGCAATGTATGCATGTATTTTTTCCCCTACATCCTTGCCAACATTTATTGTTCCTTGTGTTCTTGATAATTGCCATTCTGGCTGGAGTGAAATGAAATCTGTGTAGTTTTAACTTGCATTTCTCTAATTGCTAGAGATGTTGAATATTTTTTCACATATTTATTGACCAATCATATTTCTTCCTCTGTGAAGTTTCTCTTCAGTTCCTTTGCCCATTTGTTGAAGAATCATTATTCTTATTTTATATGAGACAACTTAAAAATTCATATAGCAATTTGCTGGAGTGATGACATATTAGAAGTTAAGAAACTATTAACTATTGTATATGGCCCTAAACCTTATAGTGGTAGATACAAAGCAAGTAGGCATGAAGCAAAAGCAGTTTGTCTGTTTCTCTCTTAATACACTGTGTTAGATTTTTTTACTCTCTTGAGTTACATTCCATGGCTGTGGCACAGCTGGTAAAGCTAAGCCAGAAACATAAATTCTCAATTTAGTTTTCCTAATAAAAATTCAGAGTTATAACTTGCATGACCGCAGATAAACACTATTGAAAATGCAGCCAGCAGGCCGTTTGGTACATTTGATATATATTAATATGTGCATTCAACATAGTTTATTCGAAATTATCTGATGGAGGTTAGGTTATAGGGAATAAAGTGGTGGAAGGTTTTACTGATGTGAATTGGGACACAGTTGACATGTTGTACACTTCACGATAACCACTGCTGTTTAAATATGGTTTCCTAGAAATGGTTACAGTACAAACTAGATTCAAAACATCTCAGTTTGCAATTTCATTCTGTGAACTACACAAAGCAATTATCATATCTTTCCCTTCTATGATTCCAACAGAGAATCCACTATGTATAAATAAAGTTATAAATAACTTGTCATGTGTAATCTTTATCTAGTCAGCATTTCAAAACATGAAACAGTAGAATATTTATTTAACCTGTTTGTTCAAAATATGCCATAAGCATTATATAAAATGTTCAGAAAGATACACAGAAGCCTCATTTTTCCATGTTTGTTTTTAGCCAGGTATTAAATACAAACTAGATATAGGTGATTTTACACCAGGAGTCCTTTCCACCTTATATTCCGAATGCATTTACAAAAGTACAAAATATAGTGCAGAACAAGTAAAACTGGGTTAATTCTCTGAGGACCCCAGCATTGGTCTTGGTCTAGTCTGTCTCCAAAG